ACGCACCGGCAACTTTTACAGTCCTACCCTTAGTATCTATAGAAGATAAAACTAGTTCTAACAGTAGTGAAATAATTGACAGTATTTTTCTACGTTTGTTTGTAACTCTATTACTGTAGCATATAATTGAAAATGTTTATTACTACATTTTAACAATGTCATAATGGCGACGGGTAGGCAACAACTTTTTACAATCCTTTTTAAAAAGTTATAAAGTCTCTCTGTATTTATTGCTGACTAAAGTGATTAAACCGTTTTCTTTATAGTTGAATGTACTGACTAATGTTAAATCGAAAGCTTGCTCCAACATATTAACGTTACGTCTCGTTACCGTATATATCGATATTTAGATTTTGGACATTAGTTAGATCTCGTAATTCGATCCAGTGATCAGCACGGACCAGGCCGTGCTAGAACATTGTGTAGAGTGATCTGGCCGAGCGGAACTCGGACTGAAAAGTATTTTCGTCGGATCGGGTCGGGCTAGATCAAGGATTTTTTTTGGGTAACATAAGAGATGAAGAAGGCCATTTTATCAAGAAAATTTTCAAGAGTGGTCGAGTTGGACTAGAGAATTTTCAGAAGTGATCGGGTCGAGCCAGATAAATTTAATCTTGGTACGGAAACTTCCTTCATCGGACCGGGCGGGGACTGAAATTTTCGGCTTAGAAAATTTTCGATTCTACTATATTTCTTCTATGGGATGAGAAAAAAATTATCAGTCATTCCTCTGTACAAGTCCACTATAGTAAAAAACATTCCTTTACTGTAAAATAGAAAGAGTAGTAGAGAAGAAAGTCGTACCACAGTAAAATCTCTAACACACCTTTTAGTCACTACTATTTTCTGATCCAACAAAGCGATTTTTTTTCAGGAACTAAATCTTCCATAAATGATCCGTTGCCTACTCTGACCACTGCTTAAAAACTTTTTTAATCTGAAACTGAATGTATATCTCTCTTTACAATGATTAGTTTCTAACAATTAGATTATAAGTTTTTTTTGTGTAAAAATATATATTTCTCATTAAAAATGAAAACATCGTTTGACTAAAAATAGAGAACACAAAAAACTGTTAAATAAAAACTTGAATAAAGTTTATAAATGAGATAAAGAGTTGTTAATTTTTTCGTACTTCTTTTGCAAATATCGGTTAAATAATTTCATTTTTATTTGGAAAAAAAGAAAAACATTTATACTCTGAGTACTTTGTCTCAATCCTAGAATGATGGTCACTTTAGAGAAGTTTTACTGTAGTTCTTCTTTTTCTTTTTTGATGATTTATATCTTACATTTATCAGCTGTATAAATTCTTATATATTGTTGAGTATCAATCAAATACTCGAAAAGAGATATAAATGAAAAAATAAAAATACTTCTTGTATTTTCTATATGATCCTTTAATATTTATTTAATAAATCCTTTCATAGAGATTGACTGTGTGTTAAGAACGAAAAATAACGCGTTAAAGGATCAGTTATATGATTAATAAAAATAGACAGTGATAGCCAGTATATAAATGGTAGAAGTTATTCCTACGTCAAATTATCAACGTAAAACACTAACTGAAATATCAGTGGAAGATAGAGAAAGATTAGAGCAGATACTTGAGTAAGTATAATCATATTCATATAGTCGTATCCCTAGTGGTATTTCCGTTCCACTCTTGCTGAGATTTGACCGCGAACGCGGTTTTTTCCCGTATAACGAAAAAATGCTGATCTTGCCAAAATAAAATCGCTATCTTATAATCGTAATCGCGTTCCTGATCAAGTTCATTATGCGATTCCGTTCGATTTATGTTTCAAGAGTGTGACGGGATCGCAGCAGGATTCTGGCAAGTTCGTGTGTAATTCGCGACAAGATCTTGAGAAAATTTTTCCTTTGCCTGATCTTTTTCGGATCCCGTTTCAATCTTGCCGCAATCTTAGCAGGATTTCAGCGCGATCTCATCAAAAATATTTTCGCGTCAAGATTGTGAAATTTTCTTTATACGGGAAAAATAGCAAGATTAGGTGCCATCACGGTAGCGATCTCGCGTTAAGTTTCAAATTTCTTGTCAAAATCGCGGCAAGATGAGGCTGTATTCTTGTCGCAAAATGAAGCGGGAATGTTACTAGGGCTATTACTGACAGAAAAATAAAATTCATGCAAAGTCGTGAAAAAGTACTTTTTTTCATATTCGGCATACTCGATAACCCACAGGATTTTCTATTTTTGGCAAGAAACGTATTGCCAGAAGTTTTTTAAGAAAAGTTTTGAAACGAATATTATTTTCCCATGGAAGTATTTTTTTTCGCTATTTTTTTGAAAAATCTTCCCCTAAACTTTTGACAATACGTCTCGTCAAAAATAGAAAATCTTTAGGGTTAACGAGTATGCTGAATAGGAAAAGGCACTTTACCATTACTCTGCATGAACTTTATTCTTTTCTTCACATTGATATAAAGCACATTTTTATAATCTCTGAAATTTATTAAAATAAAGTTTATGACTTGCTTGCGAGAAATATTCTCCATTCGTTGCGTATATTCTGATAACAAGAAAGATAACTATTTCAAATAAATTTAGAAAGAATAATTTTTTCTTATGAAAAAGAAAGAATTTTTCTTTTTAGAATGTTTTTAAAAATAAACTTTCGGGGATTATTTATAAGAAAGGGTGAAACTTCAGCACGGGAACAGTAAAGCACGGAATTTTCAGGAAGGAAATTTGAGTACAGAAAAGATCAGCATCATGAGAGACCAGCGCAAGTACTGGTTTTTCATAGTTTTGAAACGAAACGTACGAACTGACAACCAATTTGGGACAAGTAATATTTTTACGAACTATGCATGGAGCAGTGCCCTGCAGGTTAAGCCTAACCTATATGTTAGGTTAGGATTAGGTTGCAAAAGTTATAGGTTAGGTTAAGCTGTAGGTTGTGCTATGCTTTGATTTTCGATTTCTTTCTACTTTTGCACAAGTGAAATTTTTGTCTGATTTTGACGTATCCTCGCTCTAATTCTTTGAAAGGCCAAAAACTCAATGAGTTGTATGTTTACTTTAGCTAAATATACGTGTAACGCTCTGTGAATTGAGAACAAAAAATCACACGATACATTAGGTTAGAACTAGGTTGCCGACTTCATAGGTTAGATTAGGATTAGATTGAGAAATTTTTTATAGGTTAGGTTATAGGTTGCCAAAAAGTGGCAGCCTGCAGGGCTCTGGCATAAAATTATGTATAGATCATGTCTACAGGTATACAGGTGAATATGAAATTAAGATATCCATTTTGAAACTAAGTTTAACAATATAATAATGAGATTATGAGTCGAATATTTTCAAAAACTGAACGTAGAGGTGATATAAATAGATGAACAGACGCTGTTGCCGTTATCATATATTTGTCGTACAATTCCAACTAACGATACTACAAAATATTTGTATTAAATATTCATCTCAACCTTCTCATTCTTGCTAATATTTACGTTAAGTTTAACATATGAATCTGATAAAATGTATCAGTTTAGGAATAATTGATATGGCTATGCACTTTGTCCAACATAATGTATACAAAAGATTAATTCAAAAGTGAATAAATCCTTGGATATCTAATTATCAGAATTTATTCTTTTTCTTGACTTTGATTACTGTTAATCAGATGTACCACTTGGCTTAGCTTACCAATATGTGCCAAAAGCGTTAGCTTTCATCTGTACTACATGTCTGGTTTATAGTTTTGTTTCAAAACTATGACAAACCATTGCTTGCGCTGATCTCTCTTGGTGCTGATCTTTCCTAACACCGAATAGGTATGCGGCAGGATCAGTATATTAAATACTGACAATGCGAAAAAGAATTTTTAATTTCAGATCTATATCGTCGCAAAGTGTTGATCGTTTTTAATCATGCCCTAGTCGAAGGTCTTGTGTAGCAAGAAAACAAGATTTTGGGACATTAATAACCTATAAAATGTGTCGTCGAAGCCGAACGTGGTCAAACAATTGGGACTTTCCCGTAGGGCGCAAAATTGTGGCAAGAAAACGAAGAACTGAGTTATTTTGGACCCATTAGATTTTCCAATGTGACGATATACATATGAAAATAAAAAATTTTATTCCACTGTCAGTATTCTAAGTATTCAGTATTTCAATAAAATACTGAAATGATGCATACCTAGCGCTGAAATTTCGATACTGAAAATTCAATGCGTAATTTTCCTCTCGTTGAAGTTTCCGTTTTCCTTTTATACGAAATATTTTCTAGTTGATATATATTCACACGCAATATATTCGTTGAGTCCTATAAAATAAGAAAAAATACAATACCCGAACTAAGGGAACATGTCAAAATATATTCCGTTCGCTATACCTGTATTTCTCTATTCCACTACTATTTTCTATACTTCGCTGTTACACAACATTTCATTTTATAATCATTTTTATATAGATGTATACAAGAACTTCGTTTTCTTTTCTAATTAATTTGATTATTTCAATCTATTAAATTTCATTATTTCTACTTTAAAAAAGCAAGTTTTTCCTTGCTCGAATCGCAGAGATTTCTTTTCCTTGTCTCGAAAGCTTGCTTTTTCAGACGATAATCAATGATATTCAGAGTCATATTTCCCAAAGACCAAAAGGTGTCCTTTTCTGAAAAATCCATCAGTATCGTATACAACTGGTGCACTTTAAACTAATACAAAAAATGAAAATGGTTCTTCTTCTCTAATTAGTGTAGCTTTAGTTCACGAAGTTGACAGAATATAAAATAAGTTTACACTGATTATCTCTTTCTTGTGTGCATAAAAGATGAATATTTGATAAAAATATAAAATTTGTTCTTATTTTATTCTTTAAACAAAAAAATTTCTTTTTTGTACGGAAGTCTAGATCCATATAGTAGCAGAGCAGAATAAACTGTAGAAAGTTGTGTAACAGTGAAGTATAGAAATAGTGTAGTACAGAATAGAGTAATACAGGAATAGTGACCGACCGAGCGGAATATATTTTGAAATGCTCTCGAGGTGCTCGTGGCTGCGCCCGAGTATGTATCCCTTTCAACCATAAAAAGGTGATTATTTGATTAATAAATAAATAATGATAAAAAAGCATATTGATACTTTAATAAATCGAAAAAAAGTTAAATATCAACGACAAAAGGAAAAACTATGCAACAGTTATAAGAAACTATCTTATTTTATCTAATTTGTCTCTCTCTCGCTCCATGAATGAAATTAATTGAAAAAAAAACATTTGATTATATCTACAATAATAATAAGCCTAAAAATTTCTTTCTTTGTTTTTCTTTTTCTAGTGGTCCAGCAGTTTTTAAACATAGTTTAAATTTTGTTACAAATAAATCACGGTAAGGTTATTACCTTGAGATGTTGAAGTTTGTAGAATCTAATATTCATTTCAAAATATACTGTGGATGATTGTGATATGAATAACTTGAGAACGAAATGAGCTATTGAGATCGGGTTCTCGCCATGGTGTAGCCAAGACCGCGGCACGTAGTAATATGCAGAAACCAGAAAGGAGAGGTCCGCATAAGGTTGATAATCGGCCCACTCGCTTTTTCGACTAATAATGGCTTCGTATAGAAAAAAAAACTACTACAGTAGTATTCGATTAGAGGCAAAATAGAATACATTTGTTTACTAAAATCCCGTCAATTTCTCTCCAATATCATCTTAATTGACACCCTCAAAACGAGGCCTACATGATGAGTAAATGCTGCTGTTCTCAGCTTTTTAGACTGAAAGCGGCTAACTAAATACACGAATAGATAGCCCTTGAAATTCTCTATAATCTGAACTTGCTATAATAACTTGACTGGTGAGTCCCACCAAAGGCATAAAACAGAGCCATTGGAGTACCGAAAACGCCTGTAGAACACTTCTTTAGTTCATGTAGAACCTCCTAGTAGAACAATTCTCATTTTGATTCGTATGAGTTGGATATCGCCATTTTATCAGACAACTTGATAGAGTTTCTGGAAAACCTGATGACTGTAACACCTAGTCGTTCGTTTTTGGTCAAACAATTTTGTAAACCATATAGCCTTATAGAGCAAAGGATTCTAACCAAAATAAGATATCTTCCGGTTGTCTATAATGCTTTTCATCGGAATATTCTTCTATTAATTAACAACCCGTTTGTAGCCATTCGTAAATTGACTGTAGTTGTGTCAAACAGCGTTATAGACAGCTGGGATATATCTTATTTTGCTCAGAATTCTTTTCTCAATAAGGCTATATAGTTTACAAAATTTTCTGACCAAAAACAAAAGACCTGGTTTTATAGCCGACAGGCTTTCCAGAAATCTTATCAAGTTGTCTCATAAAATAGTGATAGCCACCTCATCTAAATCAGAATGACTAAAGGAGTGTTCTACAGGCGTTTTCAGTACCCTAATGGGGCTTTTGTATGTCTCTGGCGACTAGGCTCAGCAGTCAAGTTATTCTAACTAGTTCAGATTATAGAGAATTTCAAGGGCTATCTATTAGTGTATTTACTTAGTCGCTTTGAGTCTAAAACGCTGAGAAAAACAGCATTTACTCATCATATAGTATTCAATCTAGCATATTTTTTTGGTAGATGGATAGTCTAATGTGTCCTCTGCAAAGCTAGATCTAAACAACATCTCGAAAATCCATGTTTCGGGAGCTACGGGTACTTTTCTTGAAGCAGTAACACTCCTCTGTCATTATGTTTGGGGCTGTCAGAAATGAATGAAAACATAGGTTACTGACTATGCTGAATCTCGCGGCAATATTTGTTTTTCAAAATAGTTTCAAAAACCTACTGAAAATGCACATTAGGTGAAATATCCCATTTTTGCCTCTTTTGAGTAAAATTCAATTCATAACTCATCAAAGATCCATCCAAGTTATGTCAGAATATCAACATATAGTCTGTTTTACCTGCAACAAATGATGCTTTACTTGAGAATAGTAAAAACATTCTTGTACTTCGGAAGATTTCTAGAAAAAACTTCCAGAAACTAGAGTATTTTCTGTGGATTTCTAATGCTTCTGTTGAACCGCATAGTATTGCGCCGGTAAAATAGAGTACATCTTGACTCAAAAGTAGGCAAAAATGGGATATGTCACCTAATGTACATTTTCAGTAGGTTTTTGAAACTATTTTGAAAACTAAATATTATTACGAGATTCAACATAGTCGTTACCCTATTTTTTCATGCATTTCTGGCAGTCACAAACCTAATGGCAGAGGAGTCCTAAGGCTTCAAGAAAAACGTCCGTAGCTTCCGAACCTTGGATTTTCGAGATGCCGCTTGAATCTGGCTTTATAGAGGACACCTTGGACTATCCGTATACGAAAAAACACCGCTAGACTTCTGTGTAAAACTTTGGAGCTATAAGCTAGTTTTCCAGAGATCCTCGCAAAAACTTTGTTTATCTGCATATTATTATGTGTCCCGATCTTGCCTACACTATGGTGAAAACTCGATCTCAATAGTGCATTTCGTTGTCGAGTTATTCATACTGCAATCACGCACGCTATATTTTCAAATGGAGAGTAGTCACCGTTGTTGCTGAGTGCATAGAAGATTAATTGATAAGAAGCGAGAAAAATCCATTATTTGTTATTCTAGTAATATTATTAATGCTCAACGTTTTCTACAGCGGAGACGAGAATCAAAACGTGTATTAGGTGAAGAACAAGATAAAATAACAATTAATGTTTCGGGTGAACGTTTTCAAACACATCGAACTACATTGGAACTTTATCCTAATACACTACTTGGAAATAAAAAAAAATGTCGACCATTCTTTGATAAAGCACATAAAGAATATTTTTTTGATCGACATCGTGCATCGTTTCATGCAATTTTGTATTATTATCAATCACAGGGTCGTCTTAGAAGACCACCTTCTGTCCCACTTGATACATTTCTAGAAGAAGTCACATTTTTTGAATTGGATTCAGAAGCTTTACAACAAGTAAGAGATCATGAAAACGTTAAAGAAGCTCCAAAACTTCCTCTACCAAAGAATCGATGTCGACGTTATTTATGGGCTAATATGGAATATCCTCAATATTCAACAACAGCAAAAGTTATTAATTTCCTTTCAATGTTAGTCATCGTATTGTCATGTATTGCACTTGCCATAGAAACACTACCAAAATATAATGGATATTATGATAATATGTGTGAGCATGTTTTTGAATTATCAAAAAATGAATCAATATCTATAAATAAAATAGTTAAAACAGATCGATTATGTGCTCCATCATTCTATAATCCATTTTTTGTTATTCAAACATTTTGTATTATATCGTTTACAACTGAATTTATTGTACGTCTAATGAGTACACCACGTTATTTGAATTATATAAAAGATTTAATGAATTGGATTGATGTTCTTGCTATAATACCATACTATATAACATTAGGTATAATGTTAGCTGGAAAACAAGATGATATTAATGCAAATACATATGGTGGATTAAAATTTTTAAGATTATTACGTTTTGTACGTATATTTAAATTGTATAGAGTATTTCGTATATTTAAAACATTTAGAATATTAGCATCAGCATTTAAAGAATCATTACCCGACTTCTTTATTATGATGATAATTCTTACATTTTTGGGATTTTTATTTGGTGCAGGGGCTTATTTTGCTGAACAAAATTCAAATGGAGTTCAATTTGATAGTATTCCAAAAGCCACGTATTGGGGAATAATTACTGTAACATCAACGGGATATGGTGATATGTATCCTATAACTGGTAAGTAAAACTCTGGATTCATTTTTTTTTAGTAAAAAATTTGACTCCATATATTGACAAATATTTTCTTTTGAGATGGGCAGCAATTTTAAGATAAATTGTATTGTTAATGCAATTATGTGAAATGGTTATATTTTTTTATGTCGTAAGACAATATTTCTGGCTATATAGTCATTATCCAGTCAATACAAATAATTGTAACAGAAAATGAAAAGTTAAAAATTGAAATGGAGAAAAGAAAACACGCGCATTGGCTACATCACTGTCTAGTACAAATTGAGTAGACAGTCTTGACAATAGTACAAATATTTCTTAATAACACTAGTCAACACCTACTACGCTCTTGGGAAGCGGTCGAATATCTACACCTCCAGGATAGACATACAATAGAAGTGATCGATCTGTTCCATTTAACACAGGACCTATAGCCCTTAACGGGTATTACAAAAGTTCCTAGAAAAATGTCTCTTCGTTTTTCTTCTACTGAAACATGTATTGGAAAAATAAAAAATATCTATTCAGAATCTACATTTGAAGAGCTTTCTAACTGTATGTTCAAATTTTCTTATCACTTGTAACCTTCGAACAGTAAGTGCATCTTTGAAGGGCACTAACATGTAGTCTGTAAAGAAAAGAAACTTGTATATCTTTTTGATTTCAATAGTAAACATTAAAATGAGAGATCAAACTATGGTTGCCATAAGAGATTACAGAGTAGAATTTTCTCTACAAAATAGACTCTTTCCGGAATTATTTTACGTATTGAAAACTGAGCATCCTTTTAAGTTATGCAAAGTTATCGTTTTTTGAAAAATCGTGTTTTTTCTGACATAGATGTATTTTTCGTTCTAGACCAAACATTGATATGTTTAAAAGATTCACTTTGTGCTCGTAGATCAGAAACGAAAAAGTTTTCGAACAGTAGCTGAGGAAGTTCTTCAAATGTAGATTTCGAAGAACTTATTTTTTCTTAAAATATTTTTAGCATGTCGATTATCTATTCGACAGCGTCTAAAGAGCGTAGTAGGTGTTGGCTAGTATTATTAAGAAATATTTGTACTATTGTCAAGACTGTCTACTCAATTTGTACTAGACAGTGATATAGTCAATGCGCGTGTTTTCTTTTCTCCATTTCAATTTTTAACTTTTCATTTTCTTACAACATAAAAGAATGTTATCATTTCACATAGTTGCATTAACAATACAATTTATCTTACTCATTCTCTAGCTATTGGCCGAACTCTTGGTTGTTTATGTGCTATATTTGGCCAAGCTGCAATTGGCATGGCTGTTTCTGTATTAGTTGACCGTTATCAACGTGTATATACCCGAAAATTATATATTGATGCTAAAGATGATGAGATGGAATTTTATGAATCGTCAGATGATGACGATGATGATGATATAGAATCGCAAACAGGTGTTAATTCAAAACAACACAAAAAAGATATAGGCGCAGATCCAGATGCACTGGCACGAGAAGAAAAAAAAACAAATGGCAATTATGGGGTTGAAAACGACGACGATAATGATGATGATAACGATAATCAAGATCAAGACAATGAAGTGGATTATCAACAAAAAAAAGGTTCAAAAATTAAATTTATACTTACTGTTGATAATGACGAAGATGAAACGTTAGTAGCTGAACTGTTTCGAAAAATGAACAAATTTATAAGAGAAAGACAGCAATCAAACGAAAATCAAATTGATGAACAACAGACCGGACATACACAAGAATCACAGATTTCTAGCGAAGAAATTAATTTTGTTAATAATAACAGTAATGGACATAACGTTTTAATTAAATTTCGTTTACCCTCATCCACTTATCAGAATGAAACTGCTGTTAAGGATAAAGATCTTTCGCGTTTATAGACTTTTGTTCTTTTTTGCTCACATAAAGGTAAACGAATCAGATGCAAGTCAAAAAATGAAGATGATGAATTTAGATAAGCCCAACCATGAAAAAAATAATGGCGCGGACGGTTGCATCTAGATTAAAAGGTACATTTATCTACCTTCGACAGCTGCACTGGAATACATGAAAATTCAACCTAGCTCTAATTGGATAAACCCCTTCCCAGAATAAAAGACCAGCCTGAAGCTTATGGCGTAAAAGCCAAAATAATAGACCATCTTTATTAAAAGATCACTACTTTTTTGAGTAAGTGTACATTAAATAAGTTTAAATGAAATTGTAATCCGTATAATCCTATTCATCCATTTTTATCTTTTCTGTTCTTGTTTGCTTTGTATGTGTGAAAATGCACAATGGATCCGGTACACAAAAATTTGGTATCCTCGCGGTGCGTCCTAATTGGCTTTGCAAATCAAACAACATCAAAGGTGGCGTCAAAAGTGAAAGTGAGTATTAGGGACGAATCGAGAATAAACCCAAAAATTTAAATAAGATAAAAGGCAGAGCGGGAAGCGGCAAGATGAAAGTGAGAAGGCTGTCAAACAAAACCGGGATGGTTTGTGCATTTTTTATACAAGTTTTTGTACACAGGATCTATTCTAAAATCTTGCGAGACAAACTTTTCTGTTGCCCCGAGCCCAAACATAAAAACTTTTGTCCCGTCCCGTAAGTCCGACCCCGTGAGTAGATAATGTTGTCCCGAACTTCGTGAAAATAATTTATGGGCTTTTCCGTCGTGATATACCGTAACTGTTATTAGACACTTAAAGTCTCAAACTTATTTGTGCAAAAAATACGCATGACAAAATTTAAGCCTAATTTATTTGATTCTAAACTTAAAAATTTCTGTGAAAAAATTTTTTACATCCACTCACTACCTCAGAATCGAAAGAAAAGAATATGTATACCTAGTTTTAGATATGAAACATCTTCTCAAGTTTAAATCCAGACTATTTCGCCTTTCCAGATTAGTTTTTATTAGATTAGTTATTATAAAATTACGGTTTTGATTTGACAGTTTCATGTTAATTGCAGCTAATTTTAGAATTTTATTCTACAAAGCTTGATATTTCCATTATTCACGATCATTGTCAAAAGTAAAAATGTACACACAAAACATTTTGATTTTTACATTTTAGAATTCTCGCACGCACGTTCAAGAACAGATAAACTTCCCCCTGAGATGAAAAAGTTAACTGATGATGAGCTTAATGACTTACTCGCCATCCAAACATTGATAAAAGATAATCCGAAACAAACGCTTTTGGCAACGTCGGCCATTGGTAGACATTATCAGGCGACTGGATATTTGATTACACCAAATGACTTCGAAATTCCCACTAGTGAACAACACGAATACAAATTTTTAATAAAAGAATCACTCTTGATACGATCACAAGAATCAGTACTAGGTAAGGCATACCAAAAGTAACGAGATTTTCAGGTAAAACCCCACAGACCAGTAGGCCGCCAGAAGCAAGGTTCACTCGAACCAAGTTTCATAAGCCTTAGCCAGGGTAGGTGGAGCTCTTTAGCCTTGGCTGGTAGTTCACCTGGGAGATGACCTTAAGCTAAGTGGAAATCGTCTTTATTTTAGGAGACATGTGGAAGCATGAAGTGAAGGGTACAGTTTGTATTGTATCGCTCAGTCTGTATCGCTCCCGTGACGTGAAGCGGCGCGACCATTCGCAGGCTATAACAACACTATATTAGCGACGATTATTAATGGAAATGTGGAATAGTTTGCAGGGCAACGTAGGCTGATAAGGATCCGTGTAAATTCGTCTCCAAAGAGAGTCCCATGCGTTACGGGATAGCACGGGAGTCAGCTCGGACTACCTCTTTTGTGAGTATGGTATTTTCACCATAGTTATGGAGATGTCTGATGCACACTGCTAATCGCCCATGTGTTGGCCCAGCATTTGTGAGTCTGAGACAGTGTGTAGACGGGTCTGTCATTAATCATGGATTTTACAAAAACCTCTTCTCAACTAAACAACCCGAGTTTTAAAAATACGGGGCTGACATTAAATCAGCTTTACCAACTAGTTTTTAACGATTCAAAAAAAGACACTGATGCAACAGTTACAGAAATTTGTGAGTGGTTCAACGTCGATACATCGGAAGGAAACAAGAAAATTATTTCAGATCAAATTTATCAACACACAGTAAGAAAGATAAACCGAGTGAAATTATGGCGAAAACATAACGCTCAAAGACGAGAAATAGAATTCTCTGATATTGTATTAAATAGATCCGATCTGCATCAGCGACCGAGACCACCAAAACGGACAACCACTCGAGATTTTAGTGAAGTTGGAAATAAGCAAAAAAAACGAAGATTAAGTGATCTCAATGATGAGCTTGACGACTTTGCAGCATCAAATAATCTCACGGTTAACCAAGTTTTAGGCTATTTGCTTCATCAGCGCAACTATCAAAATAATTAAGAACTCGCTGAACTCGGAAAACAATTACACAAAAATAATGATTTAAATAATACACGAAATGAGTTGAATCTCGATCAGACTGTGGCACTGAAATCACATCTCGATATAAGTCGAAATCAGATGGATTTTCTTAAGTCGTTTTGTAATCCATATATTAAAATACCGAATAGAGAATATATTCGAACACACTCTAAGACACTCCTTCCTTTAACAGCACCGTGGAGAAATAATACCGGCGTTTTTATACAAGATCGCGAATTAGTGATACAATTAACTGTAAAACGAATAATAGAAATGCTACATCAACAAAACATAGTTGTACCTACAAAACTGGAATATCGGGAGAAAACGGGGCATGACGGTGCCAGAAATATGGCCATGTACAAATCAGTAAATACACCGATGGAAAGCGCCAATATTTTTAGTAAGATGTGTGTTCCACTATCTCTAACAGATTCATCATCAGGTGAAGTGTTATGGAAGAATGAGTCGCCAAATAGCTCACATTGGTGCCGTCCATTGGCATTAATCGCTGAAAAAGAGTCGGCTGAATTGTTGTATTTAGTTAACAAAGTATTTGAACCTGCAGAAAAGTATTTACAGAAGAACGGAATGGAATTTGAATATAATAGTATTAAATATGAATTAAACATAGCTATCGAAAGTAGTATGAAAGATCTTAAAGTGCGCACTCTAGAGACAGGTTTAGGAGGAGCTGGCTGTCTTTTATGTGCTACAAAATCTCATGAATGGAAAGATAGTAACAAAATAAACAAAATTGATTATTTTGCAATAAGTCGCACTGCTGAAAAAACTATGAAACTATATAGTCGTATGTTGAATGGGGACGATGAAATCGTCAGAAAGAAAAATGACTACGATAACCGACAAGGGCTAACGAGTAAACCTTTATCGATTAGTGATCAACATTACATCATTATCACTCATCAATACATAAACGGTACTCAATGGTTTTTGAAAATTATATATCATCTACGTGCCCATATTTTATCATGGTCAGAGCGTGGTGAGACTGTCAAGAACAGAGTTAAAAAGGCGCGAGAAATTGTTGTAAACGAGATCCAAGCAAGTACCGATCTAAGCCTCGATCAATGTGATTCTTCTGGTAATTCTGGAACCAGCACGACTGGTGGTCAGGGACGAAAGTTTTTCTCGTATGAACTACGAAACTCGATCATTAAAGCAGTCCCTAAAGCACAACAAAATAATTTTAAAAGATTAATTTAGCTTTATTCAGTTATACTTCGTGTGGTCTCATCCACGAAATGTGTAAAAATACAAAAGTTTAGGCAGCTAACAATAGACTTTGCTTTGTTTGTGGCAAAAGAATTTAATTGGAGCGAATATTCAATGACAGTACATAGTCTAGTGTTCCATTCTGCAGAATTAATTTATCGAAATAACTCTGTCGGTCTCGGTGAGTTGGGGAGGAAGCACTCGAGAGTGCAAATAAAGATATACGCAATTTTCGGGAGTTCTTGTCGAGAAAATGCGGTCATTTGGAAAACATTACCGATGTATTTAACCGTCTATTTATACGAAGCGATCCGATGATTTATTACATCGTGCAGAGTTCCTGTGGAAAATGTGCGTTAAAAGATAACCTAATTTTTACGTGCCCCAATGAAGATGACAGTTGGTTTGGAAGTTTGATCATAGCGGCAAGTAGTAATATGTCATTTTCTGACAAGCAGTCTGTATTTCATTTGTTACACTAGTCTATAATACTCGCAATAACTATCAATCGTATGGTAGACACGCTTTTCCATTAGGTTATTACAAATACCGAAAATAAATATCAGTTGAACTCTGTAACAGTTTAGTGACTTGGTTTATAAGAATCAACGGCCAAGGGGTGGGGTGGCCACTAAACAGCATCTCAATAATTTTTTCGATCATTAATTAGAATCGACACATCCAAAATCGTGTTACAAAATGAATTATCCGAACTTTTTAACATGTTCTGATGTATTAGACTTTCCAAAGGTCCCTTCTGGAAAAGCCGAATAAAAGCAGTTCTGAGCTTCACAAACTATTTCATTGGAAAGAGTGTACAGGAAAACCCTTGAAACCTGCGTTTGTGGTCTTTTGTATTGATAAATTGCCCACTGTGCAGAGTTAATTAAGTTTCCACTTCAGCAAGTATTTGAGCTAGTAGACATGATTACCCACGCACAATAAACTGGTTTCAAGACATTTGCTGAAAGTTTTTTTCGAATCACCTTTGATTAAAAAATTGAATATTTTGGTTACAGCACTGTATACAACGATTCAGAACTATTTTGCTCGATTAATTTTCTTGGACATGGCCGACTAAAAAAATATAGCGAACACATAAAGTGAGCGGTAGTAGGTCACAAGTTCTAGATTTGACACACATAAACGGGCTGCAGTTCTTCGAATTAGAAGGATTGCAAGAGAGGAATCTCTACGGACTACAGTTTGACGCAACAAGTTAGCCTCACAAGAATGTTTCATGCCTTTTCTCAAACTAACTAGCCAAACACTCTTAACAAATAGACAGATATGGAAACAGAGCAAATTTCTAATTACCAATATATCAGAGATTCCCTAAAACTACTTATCAAGGGGGTGAAACAGCAAAGATCATCAGATAGTGTTTCGAACATCAAAAGTCATTATGACAACGTTCAACCGTATATTCACAAAGCTGCTTTTTTAGTATCTCACATCAAAACGTATCTAAATATTTTATATTCATGGTACTTTTACGGGTCCAATACTACCTGTTTTTCAGGTGTTCTGTCTTCATTCATAAGCTTAATAAATCAAACGGCCTTTAATCACTGCATTGAATGCTGTAAGAAATTGATGAATTTTTCAATCAAAGATAATTCCGAAAAAACCTTCAGCAAATACTTTAAAATAAATTTATTGCGCGTGGGTAATCATGTCTACTAGCTCAAATACTTGCTTAATGGAAACTTAATTACTTCTAGTCTGTGAAGTTTTACCTGCAAATCGGGTTACTTTTGGTATGCCCTAAGTAAATGGTAAAGATCGTTCAGTATCGTTATACGTCTTGTGTGTGCATTTTCACTTTTGACAATGACCGTGAATGGTCGAAACATCTAGTTTTGAAGAATAAAATTAGGTGCAATTAACATGAAATGATTTCAAAAATCGTCGCCTACTGATTATATTTGTATTGACTTGATAGTATTACAAGAATTAAACATTTGAAGTTGCAGTATAATTACAATCAAACGACACGAGATTTGGGGTTTGGAGTTTGGGGCTACCCCGCAGGAGTCAACTAACAACAGTTACGGTATATCACGACAGAAAAAACTGTTCAGAAAATTGCGAGACAAATAAGGCTTGACAGAAAAGCCCATAAATTCTTTTCACGGGACAGACGGGTTCGAGACAACATTATTTACTCACGGGATCGGGCTTACGGGACTGGCCAAACATTTTTATGTCCGGGCTCGGGGCAACAGAAAAGTTTGTCGCGCAGGACTCTAACTCCGATGCATATTTATACTGGGTATTTAACTTCCAGGCATTAACATGCATGGAAATTGGATGTTACGCGTTAACATTCATAAGAGTCCAGTTATTGAAACTCGAGGAGCATATCCATGCGTGTTTTGACATGGGTTCCCATTTGGATCAGTGTATTGAAAAGCGTAGAAGTGACCTATGCACACACGAGTTTTGCCATGTGTGGAAACGGCTGGGAAATAGATCGGCCCAGGTTTAATCTCCCACGCAGAAAAAGCGAAACATCGTCTTTCTTATATTGTAAGTCTTCTTAACTGTTAATTATTAGTCTTTCAAGTGACTGTCTTTGTAATGTCCCCTATAGAGTTTCAGAACGTCACCCATGCGTTCTATCATCTTGAATATCACTTACAACCGACATACATACAATTTTGGTTATTTGCCAGGATTGAGATTCGAACATACGTACGTAGAATTAGAAATCCAGCACATTCTGATCATACCATATTGTTTGTGAACAAAAGAGTGAATTTGCTATTTATGTTTGTAATAAATACCACACATTTCCACGCGTGGGCTCCTATGTATGAAAATATCTTTCCACAGCTTTGTCAAATTCCCAGATATTGTAAGTAATAATAGTTTGTTAAAGTGGAAATAAATTGTAAGGTCCCGCTAATTCAAAACTTTAGTACAATTTCTTGTTTCGTGTATTGCCCCTGCCCCCAGACGTAGCCAGGACCTGGAAAAGACAAAATTTTCTAGATAGGCAGAAAGTGGCTGACGAAAAAAGGTTTTCGAAATTTTTGGCAGAAAATTGCGGGTGGAAAAGCGTCAAAGATTTTAAAAAGATCTTTTAGAAAAAAAAGAGATTTTAGAAATTATACTATAATATACATTCTTTTTTTCATTGAAAAACTCTTGATATATAGAGAGAGAAAGAACACAAGAGCTAGACGTTTATTTTTTAATCTAGATAGATAAATAGATTTTATGAGTGTAGGTATACAATTGAGCACTAGCACACCAGCATGGATGGAGTGTGAAATATAAACATAAACAGAGAATACTAATGGACAACATATATATATAATATAAAAGAAGAAATAAAATGTGAGACGCATGTAGAAAATTTTGGTTTGAAAGAAGACAAGCAATTTTCTTTGCTTCTCTTTCCATTCGTTTGATGACAATTTTTTTGCTCGTTTCTTTCTGCGCACGTTTGCGTATCTTATTGTATGTGAGATAGATAAGATATGCTGTATCTTAAGGCTCTACTGATATTTTTTTCTTTCTTTCTTTTCTTTTTTTTTTCCATTTTAGCTATGTAGTGATTATATTCTGTGTATATGAGAAGAAAAAGTCGAATAAAGAAAGCTATATGTACATTGTTTGTGCGTAGAGCTGTAAAGATCTGCTGCTTACACTTATTGATTAAAACGATAGTGAGAAACGATATTGGTGAGTGTGTGTCATTATTTGAAAAACAGCTGGATTTCACATTCTCTCATATCTTTCTCCGACAATTGCTGTTTATCTAGAAAACAAACAGTAGTTTTAGAGAGTTCAAATGAGGAAAGTGTTTGACATTTGTTCAGACAGAACACGACTACTTCTATCTATCCTAAAAATTTTAAATCTTAATCCAGTTGTTGCTCGAAGAAAAGTAGCTCACAATTTTTGCTAGTGGAATCCACCTATCTCAATAATTATTAAATATTTTTTGATGAAATTTTTATTGTAACCCAATGTGGCATACATCTTTGCCAAAAAGTTCATCAAAAAATTGCATGATTTATAAGACACATGAATTTTATTGATTTTTGATCAAAGTCGATCTAAATAATGCGATATCTATACATGAGAAGAAAACATTTTAAACTCGTTGTACTTTGCCCTTAAACTATTCTATATTAGTCATGCATGTGGTAAAAATCTGGGTCCGTCCAGTGATATAAAGAGTCTCGTACTCTCCCATCATATCAGTAAAAATTTACTTCAGAATTCGGAAAATGTAAAATTGTCTGTTTTATCGTTTCTCAAGTTAGCTAAGCTATGTTTTTCTCACTCTTATTTACTATGTCCAACTGTATGTAAAATCAAATGTCCATCAAACTTGAAACGAAAATGACTGCTCATAAAATAAACCGCTATCTATAACTTGAGAAGAAAACATTTTCATTTCGTCAATTGGTTTCACGGTAACCCATATCAGTTCCATATATTGTAAAAGTTTCAACCTGATCGATGACACTGAGGATCTCGCTTTACTTTAGACTATCGACTTTTCTCAAACAATAAATTAAAATTTACGTACTGGCACCTTAACAGACATAAATTTGAAAATTTGGTTAGAGTCTGTAAATGCTGATTAACGTTGAAACTTTTTTTGTCATTATTAGCATAATTACTTTACTTCGAATGCACATTGCGGTAGACTAGAGAGGTGCAACCCGATTGGTATCTATCCCCAGAGCTGGAACCGGTCCATCCGGATCAGTACCCGATAGGACCGGACCGGTTGAAAAAGTCATCCGGGCCAGTAGAGACCGGTATTTCACTAGCTGGAACTTTTGAAACATCTCTTTTTTCCCGGTTTTTCGCCAAAAAACTAAAATTTCACGCCTTTTTCAGTCAGAATAAATCATTAGTGTGGACAAAGTGTCTAAAGACGAATTGACGAATCGCAATTTTTGGGCCTAAAAATGATGCAACAATTCGCATTTTACTATTGTTTTGCGAATTCGCAGCGAATTCGTAATTCAATGCGAAGTGATGCGAACTAACAAAAATGATCAAAAACGAACCAAAAAATTGCGTCTTTTCCTCCTTTTGCCAATTCGTAAATTAGGACGAATTCGTAAGAAAGAAATTTCCGGTATCTACGAATTCGTAAATCGAATTGGTCGACCATCGACGAATTCGTAAATCGAATTGGTCGACCATCGACGAATTCGTGAAATGATCATTTTGGTCCCCAAGAATTCGTATACGAATTCGTAAATTGGCAAAAATACGATAAAATGCGAATTTACGAATTCATAGATGCCAAAGCATAACCGACGAATTCATAAATAGAATTCGTAAAATACGAGTTGATGTCAGGGACAGGACACTTTTCTCTGAGGTTAAAAATAGATAGATTCGTCTCTTCTCATCGATTCGCATACTTCTCACCTCACTTCGCCGTTATTTTTACGAATTCGTAGAATACGAATTGATCAGTTGAATGAATTAATCAAAAAATGTGACAATAGACTATATTAATACATGTATCTGTGCGAAACAAAACAGAGGGGAATCTCTCTCCCTTTTGTGTGCATGTGCCGAGCGGGGGCAGTGTTCAATTTTCACTTGTTTTAGGATTAAATATTATAGACCCGTTATTGTGAAGGTTCTCTCACATGTGCTCGCAAACTATTTCATTTCTAAGGAAAGTTCTGTTTTTACTTAGAGATTCAGAAAACTTCATCAGATTTTCGCCGGTTTCTTTAAAATGATTCTTTTAGTTGCCTTCCGTCGCCCATAACCGAGGAGCATGTCTATTGTCAGTGTTTCATCTAGCCCCTTGTACACAGTTCACTCTCGAAGAATGACATTTTTATTCAAAATTAATTGCGTTTTATTACATTTCATATTTTAACTTTGGAAATTATGGATGAAATGAAGGAAACCCAAACTCTTAATTTACCAAAAACGTTAACCATAAAATGGTTAAAAGAGAAATATCAACAAAATCAATTAAAACCAAAAGATGTCATCAATGAAATTATTCGACGTGTGGAGAATGATCAAGAAATGAATATTTGGATTACACCACCAACAATAACACGTCTTCAACCCTATTTTGATAGTCTGAAAAAAATGAATCCAAACGATACACCATTATGGGGTATACCATTTGCTATAAAAGATAATATTGACTTAATTAATATTTCAACAACAGCTGGTTGTCCTGAATATACGTACACACCAAACGAAAATGCAACTGTTGTTCAACGTTTAATTCAAGCTGGTGCTATTCCATTAGGTAAAACAAATTTAGATCAATTTGCAACTGGACTTGTTGGTACTCGAAGTCCTTATGGTGAAGTACATAACGCTTTGAAATCAGAATTAATTAGTGGTGGATCAAGTTCTGGATCAGCTGTGTCTGTTGCACGTGGTCATGCCGTATTTTCATTGGGTACAGATACAGCTGGTTCTGGACGTATACCTGCCGGATTAAATCGTTTAATTGGTTTAAAACCATCATTTGGTGCTTGGCCAATAAAAGGTGTGGTTCCAGCTTGCCAAAGTTTAGATTGTGTGACAGTATTTACACATGAACTTGATGATGCTATATTTATTGACACGATTGTACGTGGTATTGACAAAACAGATCCATGGTCACGTGATATTAGACGTCAATTATCATCTACATTACCAGAAAAAATTTATTTCATAAATGATCCACCAATTGAATTTTTCGGTCCTTATGCCAGTGAATACCAAATATCTTGGCAAAAAACAATTGAATATATTAAACAATTAAATATACCTATTGAATATATTGACGGACATTATTTAGTGGAAGCATCATCTATTTTATATGGTGGTCCTTGGATAGCCGAACGTTGGTCAGATTTAGGTGAATTTATTACATGTCAACCGCCTAATACTGTTTTTCCTGTAACAGAAAAAATATTACATTCAGGTACGAATTCTAATCATACTGCTGTATCACTTTTTAAAGCTATACATCAATTACAAAAATTTAAACTTCGAGCACATCAACAATTAGAAAATGCTGTTCTAATTATGCCAACATCAGGTGGTACGTGGACGCGTGAACAAGTACGAGAAAATCCCATTCAGACAAATAATGATATGGGACGTTATACAAATCATTGTAATTTATTAGATTTATGTGCTATTGCTATACCATCAGATGATGCTGCCACGGAAGTACCATTTGGTATAACATTATTTTCGAAATACGATAATGAACATATTGTATTGAGTTTAGCTGATTTGTTTTTAAAATGTAAATCCACGATGACTAAGATACCGATAAAAGAACAACAAGAAACACCAACAACAACACTTGTTGTTGTATGTGGTTTACATATGCGTGGTTTACCACTTGAAAAACAAATGTTAGAATATAAAGCAAAATTTATTCGTGAAGATGAAACAGCACCTTATTATAAACTATATAAATTAGCAACAACACCGGCGAAACCAGGCTTAGTACGAACTATAGAAGATAATAATGAAGGTTCATCGATAAAAGTTGAAGTATGGGAAATGCCATTATCATCATTCGGTGCATTTACAGCACAAATTCCATCACCATTAGGTATTGGTAAAATAATTTTAAAAGATGGTAGTCAAGCACCAGGATTCGTTTGTGAATCATATGCAATACATAATGCTGTCGATATTACACCTTTACGTAGCTGGCGTACGTTTCTTAAGGACAGTGTTATATAACTAACTATAAGATGAAATGTATATTCCAAAGTGTTTTTGCGGTATATGTAACTATTTAGAAATTTTAATTAGATTACTACGTTATTCAAACTGTTATTCAAAACTATGATTCTTTTCATTATTATCGCCAGCAACGATAATGTACTGCAGGCCGTAATATTGAGATTAATAAATAAAACGAAAAGATTTTATTTTCTCTTTTACATTTTCAGTTCACTCCTTCATGTTCTCGTTCTAATCGTCCAAAATAAAACAAAGAGAAAACATCTTTGTAGTCGATATCTTATCTATTAAAAAAATCTTTTTTGTGTCATATGCAACATAATTTTCGTAACGAAAGCGCAGAAACTATATGTAATTGACTGACTCTTTACTTTTTTCTTCCAAAGGATTGAAAGCAAGTATGAGTATATAGTCATTTTCTGCTTTAACAGATAGTGGAACTTCTTTCAGCAGTCGCGTTTAGGAGAGTTAATTCCGAAAAAATTGTGAGAATAACAGAAGATTTTGTGTGTATGTGTATAATCATATAACATTTTAATATGTTAAAGTCATTAACCATCGGAGCAGAGATCTGATTGTATACCACTCATACTATTCTGATCAAACTGTTTTCTCATTCAAGTTCCCCTCAATATCATTGAATTTTACTCGATCAAAAGCGCGAAGTATGATGTATTTGAACTATCTGTTAAAATTGACATCGAGCGATTGAATTAGGCTTGTGGTCCACTTGGGACTTTCGAGTCGACTGCAGTCTTTCACGTTGTCATACAGGCCTTTGTGGTCATCCTGTCCCATCCACGAGTTGGAGATGAGCACCGTGTGAGAGGCTTGAGAATCTTACCACGTCATTACTCTACAAGGCTGCTCATGAGTTTGCCTGACTTGCTGTATGTTACTTCTTCGGTCGATGTATGAGTAAAGGTTACGCTGGAAAATCGAAAATTATCTAATACTCTGATGGTAAAATAAAACAAATGGAGGCAGACCAAACAGCACCGTCTTTATTCAACTAAATAACTTTGGTTTTTATTCAAAAAACAATCTTTTTTAAACTTATTTCTTGGTGTGGGTGAGGATGACAGAAAGAAAGGTGGGTTTAATACATTATATAAAACAATCCGATTATTTTTTTGAACCATTCATACCTTCGATTTGCGCTGACTCGCTTTCGAAAAACTTTGTCTATCTGCTAAAACTTTACAGCAGGCAAGAACAGTGTCAGTCTAACTACCAGAGCTCCGTGTCAACCACCCCCTCATTTGGATACAGTTACTCAAAAAATTTTGGCTTACTCATATTTTATAAGAAATTTAAGTTGAAAAACTGCCTTTTATGCACCTAAGTGATTTTCTCGAGCTTCTGAATAACTCATTGTTTTTCTGAGTAACTCAGCTGCTCAAAAAAGAATTTTAGTCAAAAAATGCTTTGCTCATTAAAAAAAGTTTAATTACTCAGTAGCTCGCCACCCCCGACCAAAACTACTATCGAAAACACTGCTTAGTGCTTTGAACGCTCCGTTAGTCGTTTTTCTACCATAATAAAAAATTATGTAGTGTTCGAAAACATACCATTGGATAGTCCTTGAAATTCTCAACAAAGTGAGTTGTCCACAATATCCAGAAAGGTTGGGCCAGCCATTAAAGATATGGAAAAGGAGCTTTTGAGTGTTATCTGAGCATACAGTGTGTCATAATCACAAGAACTCCTTTGTTTTTCACTTTTTAGTAGAAGTTGGAACCAATCTAAATAATGTTTTGAATAGCTCGAAGATTTTTTTCTATCAGGTGAGGTACATATTCTCATGAGAAAATTTGATAACAGATCTTCTTTAAAACCTGACCGCTGGAAAACAAAGTCCTTAGTTTTTGGTTAGAAAATTTTGCAAACTGAATAGCCTGATAGAGCAAAGAATTCTGAGCAAGATAGGACATCTCCCGGCATTCATTCAAGTTTTTCTAACCTTTTAAGTTCCTTTATCAATGTTAACTTATAAAAGTACGTGTCGTCGTTAGTAAAAAGGTAACACCCTCTCTTGCATGATCTTAACAATATTAATAACTTGGGCACTTTCTTTTTATCACCTGAAAGTCCGATAAAAATCGATTAGACTTAGACTTAGACATTTATTTGACAACAAAAAAGTAAAAAGAACCAATACAATAAACTAAAATCAAAAGAGGTTGTTACAGGGAAAAAACAGAAAAAGCGCATACTGCTCTTATTAGACTGTGACCCTTCTAATTTCGACAAAGAAAATAAACAGAAAGAACGAGAGAAAGATAAAGAATTAAACTCTAAGAAGTTCTTTAGTCTGTGCTTGAACAAACTTATGCTGTTAGCTGTAACCACGTGCTCTGATAAGCCATTCCACTCAATTGCCGTTCTGTGAAAAAAGGAATACAGGGTGGTATAGGTCTTGAACAGATCAGCCACCCTAACTGCTCCGGAATGATTTAGCCTGCCAGAATGCCTATTGGTGTTATACTGAATAAGATTGAGATCCGAAAGAATGGAATGATTGTGGCGAATCTTATAAAAATGAAGTAATCTGAAGTAATAAATGATTATCACGCATACTTCTGATTTGCTTCTAGCTTTAACAGGAAGTTTCATTTTATTAGGCGCAGAAGAAAAATAGTCTTTTTCGGGGCTATATATCACACGACACAAAAACCATTCTGAAAAATCGAAACTTCATTAGTTACAAAGAATCTCATTTTTGTAGCATAAGTGATGTCTGCTAAACTATATCGAATGTCGTTTGAACAAGATATCTCGCTCTGATATTCTGTGAGATGATTTGACCTTAGGTAGTCAAAAATGTAACACCCTCATATTTGAATAAGTTGTGAGATCCTTGCTTCTCTGAAAGAGGTTGGTCATCAGTCATGAGCCTCCTATATACATCCTTGCACGCTATACTTCTCCAATACAATTACTAAGGAAAAGGGAAAAAGAGTTTTTTCCGAATTATATTTCGTGTAAGTTACACTCATTACAATAGCAAACGCGTCAAGCTAAATAAAGTATCTGTTTTTGATAAAACCGGCTACTGTTGTGTTAACTTGAACACCTCGATGTCCGTCGTTTGGAAGTTGTATGCACCCGTGAATGTGTTACAACCAAATCCGAGTGTATCGAGATACGAGTGGCCGATATTACCGAAACTGGCATTGTTTGCATTACTTCCACTACTGATATGCAAGTCGTGATTGCCACCAAATGTTGGTCCATAGTTGCCGTTGTGGTGTAAATCATGACCGTTACTTTTACAAGGAAACTTTGTTGGTTGACTACCAACGGGGTTTGTTAATAAATATAGAAAAGAATTAGGAGCATTGGTAAACTTTCCGGCAGACGTCCAGCTCCGTGAAGCAAAGGCGCCGAATAAGTATCCGCCTGTTGATCTCACAATTGTCATTGTCGCACCTTGATTATTGCAAAGACGATGAAACGCAGCCGCATCAAACCCATCTTTTGTAGCCTTGTAAAGTAACTGCCAGCGTTGATCGTTTTTGCCATAGAATTCGTTCAGTTTCATCTGTTGTTCTCCATTCAGCAGCGTTGTACCTTCGAATTTGTCTTTCTGTCGCTCTTCCTCAGCTTTCCTTTCCGGCTCTGTCAAAATTTCTAACAATGTTCGAAGCTGATAGAATTCTGCTTCATTAATCAAACGTTGACGCAGGCGTTCATCGGATACCACATATTTTCGAGGATTTCTCATATATTCCAGAATCTCAGCAAACAGATCACCGTTTCTGTCGATAAAGATACGCCCTCTTTCATCTCTTTCTAATTCCCACTGACCTGAGAACATGGCAGTAAAAAACGTATTCTTTTCACTCGTAAGTGTGTCAACTGTCGTTGCAAATTCTTTTCCGCCGACGTCGAGTAACACTTTTCCTCGTACCTTTGTCATTGACAGATTTGCCTTTAACTGCTTCCATTCGTTGAGGTCGTTTGCTGCAGAAGCAACGCTCTCTTCGATATGTTTCTTAATCGACGTTACAAGGAGATTCAGTTTTTCACATTCTCGTGACAGTACGTCTGAGTTTTGAAGAGATTCTGCCATAGTTTATCTATGAAATGTAGAAATCTTCCTACAGAGTTTTGATCGTAAAAAAGTTATGAAATTACGCATTCAAAGCAGGGTATAGTGATGTACTTTTTTATGATGTAAAGATGCAAAACGTATACGTGAAGAAAGAAGAGAAAATGAAGTGTTTCTTTACGATTCAAACTTCTATTCGAAGGCAAGATGTAATCTAGCCCAGAAAAACTCTTATGGAATGTTGATTGAAGAAGGAAAGAAAAAGTAACGGTAAAGTATTTTCCAAGTAAAAACGCACCGCACTTTACTCGAGTAAAAATTTAAAAATGATGTGGCAAAAGTGTTGTTGTTCAGAAAGAGAGAAAAATAAGTTAAGAAAAGCGTTCTGGGACAGAACTTTGCTCTTTTACGTATAACAACAGTCTTGAAGAGATTATATGTATATCATCTAAGGCAAGCCGCCAAAAATAACAGAATGCGTAGAACGTAGACGTCGACTATATTCTACGCGTGGAAATATCTATGCGTAGAATATATTTGTCTACGCATTGATTCTAGGCATTGATATAGATCACCATCATTCTCTCTCTTTTCTTTTTCTCTTATTTTTACAGAAAGAGAAAATGCGGTGGTCATAGAGAACAGAAACATTTTCGTTTTCAGTTATAAGTTCCACAATCTAACACTATTATAAAGCTGAACTATATTCTATACAAGATATACTCATGCACGGCTTTATATGCAGAAGTACACACTAATCTTTATTTCGACAGCAATCATTTCCATTTTAGAATTTCAGAATAGTCAGTCACTCTTTAGAAAGACAAGTTTTATTAACATCAAAAAATGAAATAGAGGGATATTATGTTAGAGTTAAATCTTGTTTAATGATTCCGGGAATTATGTCTTGTAATATCGACTGCCGACACAAAGACATAACGATTATTACAGCGCTCGCATGAATCAAATGTGTTATCCAGAAGAGAAGCATCGGGTTTTACGTTTTTTTGTCCGATCATACATGAATGAATAGTTTGTAAAAATGTTTTATAATGATTAGGATGGAGAATACAAAGTGATGGTACTGGCATTCTATTGTCACGAATTGAAAGTAGTTTCATTGTTAAGTTCGCACGAATTGGATTTGTAGAACAATGAAAATAATTAATAGCATGACATTTTATGAACATATACGAATAATGTGATTTAACACAATGTTTTAATAAAAATAAATAGTCACAACATAAACCCTTTTTGTTGGTTTTAGTAGCCCAAATCTCGGAACTGAAATCAGTCTGCTTTCAGAATTACTTTGTTTTAAAAAAAACAGTTCAAAACCTAGATATTAGGTGTAGCGAGTTTGCTTACTCTATTTATGTTGCTTTTTCAAAAAGACGTATACATCTTACACGGAAATTCAAGAAACTCTTATATTTTGTAAGTTAGCTTCTTTAACAGGATGTAGCTTCTTGCCAAAGAAATCGTTGAACTTTCTTCGACCTCTCATTTTTTGCAAAATCTCAGCGACTATGAAGTGACGTGGTTATGAAAGACTTCTGTGGTTTTCGAAGTGACTTCAATTTTCCGGAAGATCTGGTTTTCCGAGAAACCGGAATATTCGTTCCTGAGTAATAGCTTTATCTCTCTTCTAATCTCGGTGGATCTGTCTACCGAAATATTTCATCTGAGTTTAGAATGACAGTTCAGTGAAAGAAATTTATTGGTCAGATGAGCTAATTCAAGTTGGAAGTTCAGCCCTGCACATTCTTTTCCACTCGGATACTCGATTTTCACCATTAGAATCAGTTTCCAAAGCTAAAAGAGCAAAAATATGTCTTATGATTTGCGGATGGACGTTCGTCTCGAGGCACAAAATCATATTCAATACATTCGTCTAAGGTTGTCTTTTTTCTGTGACAATTTTGGAAAAACATGGATAAATCGTTTTGAATTTCTCATAACATACAAACTCTTATAAATTCAAGAGTACCAAGTTATTTTAAATGATATGTTTATATTTGCTACTATTGTAAGATCGATTGAACTATTAAAACATGGTCTCGAAGATCTTTTGCAAGATCTTTGATAGGTCTTCAGAGGCTTTTTGATTTTAAAGACCTTTAAAAGCCTTCAAAGAGTTTGACATATTTTCACTCGAATCGCATCTGTTGTGTGTCTTTTTCTCGCAAACTATAGCGAGCTGCGTGCATTGTGGTCAGAATTAACGTTCGAAACAGCAACATGTAAAGTGTGTCGTTTGATGTGCGAATAGTCCGTCGAGTACTGTTTCTTCACGATCGACCTTTTCTCTGCAAACAGTTTTATAAAAGATATGTATAAGTTTTTTTAAATTTTTATTCATGCAAACTCACTGTAAGTCCAACGTTATTAAGCTTAAAAGAGTGTATTTGCGATGAAACCAGCTGCTATTGTGCTAGCTTGAAAACTTCGACCTCTGTCGTTTGAAAGTTACGTGCACCGGTAAATGTGTTGCCTCCAAGACCAAGTGTATTTGAATATGCAGTACCAATGGTACTCTTACTACTCATATTTGCATTACTTCCATAATACAGGATTAAATAATTGCCGTTACCAAACCGCGGTCCGTAATCGCTATGACTGCGCATAGCGTTAGCATTATTTCTACAAGTAAATTTTGTCGGTGGACTTCGACCTGCATTTGTCAACAGGAAAAGGAATGAGTTAGGAGCATTTGCAAATTCTCCATTTCCAGATGACCAGCTCTACGAAGAATAGCCGCCGGTTGAGCGTACAATGGTGGTTATCGCAGAGACGATGAAATACAGCTACATCACACCGATTTCTCGTCGCCTTATAAAGCAGCTGACAGCGCTGTTCATATTTACCATAGAATTCGCTCAATTTTAGATGCTGATCTTCACTCAGTACTGGTGTACCTTGGAATCTTAGCTTTTGTAGCTGTGTAATTCACACGAAACTTACAAGTACTATACCGATTTAGAGAAAGCACTTTAAAATATACATTTTCTGATGCCTCCTTGAAAATTGAGTCACATGGTGACAACCAAACGAAAGTATTTGCCATATGCACAAAAACAATTTATGCAAAACTACTTTTTCGCTAAAAAGGCTATTTCCGAGTTAAAGATTCTGTCTTTTTCAGTGTTTTGTAGGACATATTATTTTTCACCTACGACACTAATTTCAGTTTCAAGTGAAAAATCGCGGTGAAATTCACATTGAAAGTAAGCATACAACAGCTGGCTTTTTTTAAAAGTGCAGTCTCCATCTGAAGATTCCGAGACAACGAACAAAGTTGGAGGTAACAAACCAATACTTTTTAATAAGGTTTGTGGGGCAAAACTCAAAAACTTTATTCTAGAAAATCACTTTTTATATCCTGATATCATCGATTAGAATTGCATCAGTTTCAATAAAATAATTTATTTTTTCAGCAATTTAAAAATACCTTTCCCGAATTAGAAAACAATAATTATACAGAATTAGTGTAAGAAAAGCATTTTTCGATTTCTTAGCATCGTAAACAGCAGTTTAGAGCTCTGCTTCAAGAGAATGACAGTTGTAAAAACTAATTTTAAACATTTCATTCTCTAGGCTCAACTTTCAAGAACGTTGTTTTCCTGAACAAAAAAATATTAAAAGAAGACCTTTAAGATAGAAAATAGAGGTAAACTAGTTCATCGAATTCGAATATTATTGATAATTCAGTGGGTGCTGGTTTTGCCGCTGTTGATTTAGAAAAAACATATGATCCAATGCTTGAAACTAATAAACTATTGGAAAGACGTGATATATTAAAAGAAAATTGTTTAACAGAAATAAGTCTATCTGAACTTGAATTGTTACTTGATATTATTAATCCAGGAGATGCAACGGTATTAAAACAAGACATGATCAATATTATCGGGGAAAAATTATATGAAAAATATTGTGCACAAATAGTTACATTAAAAATGTATGAAGATAGTTTACGTACACGTCGAATTAATCATTAATATTTTATCGAGTACTATACTATACTCAAGATGTGAGCTATTCTTCGACTATCGAAAACATTATGAATATGGAAATGCAAATTGAGAAAATGTTTTAATCAACACTAGATACAAATGTTTTCTAGTGCAAAGATCTTATAAAATTTCTTTAGTGGAAAAAACAAAGAATGAATGTCGACATACAAAGTCAAAAAAATGTCATCACTAACTCATTTCCACACTAGTCATCTTTTCAATTGGATAATCAATATACCATTTGTAATTTTTGTTTCTCCGTGGAAACATTTTTCTTTCTTTTGATAGTCGATATATTGAAACATAATAGGAATTTAGTAAATAAGGAGATATCACTTTCACATAAGCTATCCCATATGCGGGAGATATCCATTTTTTCGTCTCAGCGCGTCGATAGAAAAGTAAGAGAACAGAAAGATATACATGTGGAAAAAGAGATATCTCCTTATTTGGTAGTTCCTTAATAATGAATAAAAACAATGATCACACGCTAATGCTAAACATTTATTGTCATACAATGATGAACAATGTTGTGGAGAATTCTAATCAGATAAAAAGGGAAAATAATTCGTGTCTAATAGTTTGATTTCAGTTTGTTGAAATGAAATTAACATATTACGTAAATAACAATGCGCTTCTGATTTCTGATACTTTCTTGTCGCTAGTTATGTTTTGTTTCTCATACAATGTCCATTGATCAATTAAATTGAAATATCATAATGTGCATACAAAACTAGTCGATTGTAAGAATGGAAATGGAGGCTGATTAGTATCTTCATCTGTCAGTGATCTTGTTTGTGACAATGAATACCGAATACGTTTTGTAACGTGTTCAAATCGGTTAATAGAGCGGACCATAGAATATCCTTAATGGTTCTTTTACTCGGTTAGCTGTACAATATTGTTTCTAAACCAGCATACTTTCTTTGCGACAGGTAAAAACAGCTGACTGAATTGTGTGTGAGCTTTGATTAGGACGTACTTGAAGAGATTTTTGTTTTCTAAGTTCTTCTTGAAATGGTCTGGCTAAATTGATTAAAATCGTTTTTTCGTTGCATATAGTAATCAATTTTCGAAAGCTTGCAATGATTCATTGATCAAAGAGAAAGATATTATTTCTAATATATTTTCAAATTTATCGGTGTAACTTCAATAGAATGATAGATTGAATTTCTCATTTCTTCATCCCACCTACTATTATGCATTTTTGTGTGTCATTGTTCAATGTCCATTGATCAATTAAATTGAAATATCATAATGTGCATACAAAACTAGTCGATTGTAAGAATGGAAATGGAGGCTGATTAGTATCTTCATCTGTCAGTGATCTTGTTTGTGATAATGAATACCTAAGCAACAAAACATTGTGCGATTAGTGGAGAAAGAAAGAGCAATGACTTTTTGTTTTACACTTACCTTTTGGTTTTATGGATGTATATAACCGACATTCCTCAGAAAAACACATTTTTTCCATTTTAAGAAATTTTCCAAAAATTAACCCTTTAGTATTGCAGGTTTCTGTAATTTTTTGCCCATTCAATTGGCCTCTTTGCATGAATATCCATCTATCTTTATTACATCCATGGTATTCGCGCAGATCTTTCCGAATGAGACAATAAGTTTTCTATGAAGCCGAGGCTTCGCACGTAAAAACATTTTCTCAGCTGAAGAAGTGTTTTAATACAAAAACAAATCTCATATTCAGAATAAGCAAGCACATCAAACTCTGTATAAACCAACAAATTTTAGACGAAAATAATCTCAAACAAAAATTTCGCAGGCTCTCTGTCAAGGGGGAAACAGCTGATTTTGGCATTTTTCCGATTTCCGTCGATTTTCACTGATTTTCGTCGCTTTCGACGGATTTTCATTGATTTTTTCCGATTTCCTGTGATTTGTTTGGGAAATGAAGTCAAAAGACTGCGATAAATGGTGCAGAACCTTCTTTATTTGTACAAAACAGTAACTAGACATAGTGAAAGTAATGAAAAAGAAGATAAAATCATGAGCCATTTTTAGCGATTTTTAATGTGAGACTTTAACCGATTTTTCAAGTTCAAAAATCAGCTGTTTCCCCCTTGCTCTCTGTCCACGTCGACTTTTGGAAAACGTTTATAAGATTTTAATTATAAGAAAAATGATACTGATCCATGAGGATCCATTTGCAAAAAGATTCTGGTTTATAAGCTAAAGTTACCACTATGACCAATGAACGAAGAATCGAGAAATAACGAAAAGATAATACGTTGTATTCATCGAAATTTTACGACTTCAAGATTCAGTCTTAGTGATGAAATCTTTTTTTTGTGTGAAAACATTGTTCTATTGTTAATTTACGAAATTTTCAGTTTTAAAATTTTAGATTCTTCAATATTTTATCTGGAACTAACTATACGAGTGGCAAGCATAATATGTCTACTTTGCCTTTGCAACAAAATGTGAAATTCAAGTCTCGTTGTATATTTGGGCAAAAATGAGGGCCGAAAACTTAAAAATCAAGAAATCTAGAAATCACGGACTTTTAGATCTCTAATTCTATTTTATGAAAGGTAAAGTTCGCATAAGATTGAAATCTGCCCAATAACTTTAACCGCTCTAATCGGTAAACCAGCATTCAATTTACGGAACGTCTCATAGCAGCAAAACTAATGGGAAAACAAGATGATATGCGCTTAGGGCCTTCCGTAAACTGAATGCTGCTTCAATGGATTTCTGAGATTCTGGTTTTCTACAGTCCAGACGTGTACGAGTGATAGTTAAAATTCAGGACTAGTCATAACGGGGGCGTTTCTGTCGTAAAGACTAGTGAGGACAGTCCTCCGGACTACGGAAAAGACTAGTCATTTCACCCGTCTTTTGCTTATCCGGGAATGCTGTATTCAGCGAATGATTAACGCACTGCCTTTTTCTATTAAATCCATACCTACAAAACCATAAACACATTAGAACAAGTTGTTTCGAGATACATTCAAAATATGTAAATTAGAGTAAAAAGTAAACATTCCAAAACACTTTTCTTTCTTTTTCTCCCACGAATGACTCCAGTTTCCAATATAATTTTCCTAAAAGCTAAGAAGATAAAAACGAAATCTTAGAGTAGTAAATCTTCCCGGTTTTGTAAAACAAAGCTTAGAACATTAACAGCGAAGTCTAATTTCTTTCATATCAACAAATGAAAATTTCGACACGTACAAACCCATTAATATTAAAGTAAACAACCCAGTTGAACGTTTATCTTCATCCGGAAAGTTCAGCATTAGGAAATAATAGTTTTATACTATTATCATTTAAAGCATCGTATTCGAATGAGCGTCTACCAATACGGGCACGTCTGATACGATTACATATTGATTGTACTTGTTGAAAAGAAGAGTCTTCTGATTTAATAATAATTCTAATGTATATGGAACTGTATTATCATAGATACTAATTATTTTCGCTTTGTTTTATTTACTGTATAACAAAATATCATCGTTGACATTTGATCGATAATTAACTACATCATTTGAAACATATGCATAAAACATGAAGGGTAATGAAAATACAGAATAGTATCGACTACGCAACGGTTGCTTAAAACATAAAATCGAATGATTATTATCAATCCAATAAGACGATTTGTATGTTTGAATATAATCGTCTATGTTCAATGTGTTATCGACAACTGGAATACGAAAACAAAAACGGAATACTTTCAATTTTGTTAGTTTTGATAATAACTTTTTTTCTAAACGTTCACCATGAATAAATTGGTCAATATATAAATTCAATGATAAGTATTCTAAATTCGAGCAGCAATGAGACAATAACAATTCTAAATAATAAAAAAACAGTGTAGAACATAAAATGTTTTAATTCTGATAATGTCGAAGGAATATTTTCATCGTAATTAAATTGGATGTCATTTTCTTGTTATTCTGGCTGCTGCTGTCTTTGTCAAAGAACATAAGCCATATCAATATTTACAGATTCGATTGAAGATAAATTGTTTAACAGAACGTATATATCATGGAAATAATGTACTTTTATTCTTAACTTTCTAACAGAAAAACATAGTTGAATGATATCAGAATTGATGGGTACGTAAATTTTATCAAAAAATAATGTTTCTAGTCGACAATCAGATTGAAATAGATTTGAACATAGTTCGCTTGATACAGTTTCACCAATTTGTTCTATACCAAAATAAATTTTTAAATTAAGTAATTGTTTAAATAATTTTAAATATGATAAATATTTACCATCGTTTTCAACTTTCGTTATAAACACTGATTCAAGATCCGGACATATGTTGCATATAAATATTTCACTAAAACTATCTATTCTCTACAACCACTACGTGTTAATATAAACAGCATTCAATTTAGAAAAGATCCCACATCTTATTTTATTCAGAAATGTTTGCTGCACATGATATAGCCCTTTACAAAAACGTATTGATAGAATCTGAGACTTGGCTTTCTTAGTGATGTCTCGGAGACCTAGCCTAAACAAAATTTTTTGTTACAATTTCCTTTATTTCAACAAATATATAAACGTTTTTCTACAAACTGCGCCGTTCCACAGGTATCGGTGATTCTAAATAATAACTATGCTAGACCAGACACCTTGATTAATCGATTTAAATCTCTGAGAACATGCACTGAAACAGTCAGAGATAATAAAATAATTAAGACTATTAAATATTGCGGGAATGCTTTCCGAATTACGAAACCATGATCGATACTCTACTTTACAGACATCCGTCTAGTTTCCGATTTATTACCTCACAATAATCAACTGCTTTTGAGAAGTTATGAACGTCTCATCAGTTTCTGACTCATGTCAGCTGCTGCTCTTTCACACACATTGATAGAAGGATGAGTAGCCGGGAGAGATTTCCGCATAACTCCGAGAGCCTTTTCATAATAACTCAAGGCCTTTGAGTAGTCACCCATGTCACTGTAAACCATTCCAAGACTGCCGTACGTCGTAGCCACAGATGGATGGTTCGGTCCCAGTGTTTTCATTCTACTTTATTTTTCATGGTGAAAGCACGCGTCTAGTCACATTTTGTCACAGTAACGTTATCTATGAATAAAGATAATCATAGTCCTCCATCGCCAAATAATAATTCTTTAGTTAAAAAATCAAAATCTGTACCAAATACACCGGAATTTGAAATAATGGACAATCATTTGTTACAAAGTATTAAAGAAACATTTACAAATTCATCGTTTATTGGTGAAATGACAAATTTACTACTCAATTCGGATGTCCTTCTCAATACGCTTACAAATGTTGTTAAACAAGTGTGTCAGAAACAACAACAACAAATTGATTTTTTAACATCTGAATTGAAGGAGGTTAAAACACAATTGGTTGAAGTTCAGTTTCAAATGAATGACCATCAACAGCACACAAAACGAAAAGGTTTAGTAATGTATGGCATACCAGTTCAAAAAGATGAAAATACTACAAATATGGTTATTGAAATGGGGAATTCATTAGGGGTTCAACTTAATGATGCACATTTTTATTCAGTACATCGCTTACCAGTAAGTAAAAAGTCAAAAGATAAAACAAAGCAATCAATTATCGTGGTCTTTTTGCGTTTAAAAGACAGAGATGCGTTCTATGATTCAAGAAAAAAATGTCGTGATATTGACATTTATAAAACGGTCTATATAAATGAGCACCTAACAAATTATAATAATACTTTGTACATGTATGTTCGTCAAGAACTAAATAAAAAGACAATTTTCACGCGCAATGGTAATGTTTATCAATACCTGTCGAAAGGGAACTACAAACGGCTCTTTACTGTGGAGGACATTGATAATGCAACTGATGCATAAATTACTGTGATATCAATATGACCAAGCATGAGACACAGCCTACTCTTTTATTTAATTCCTTTATTTTCTTCTTCCCTCTTTTCTTTTCTCTTTCATATTATGTTTGATTCTAAATTTTTATTATGTAATAGCAAACAGTACAGTCTCGACGGCAGGGAAGTATGGACGACATATCCACCATAAAATCTAACACTACTATGTCTGACAGTGTACAAATTGCGTCTATGAATATAAGAAGTTTGACGTCGCAAATTGATTACGTGAATGCATATCTGGCCCTAAACCGTCCAGTAATTTTATGTTTAACTGAAACGTGGTTGGATGATAGTGTTCAAAACAGCGTGATAGATATTCCTTTTTATCATCCACCTTTACGTTTAGATAGAGATAGGCATGGCGGTGGATGTGCAGTATATATACGAACTGATTTTCATTCCTTGCACCTACATGAATTTGAAGCTGCTCAGTTTGAAATACTTGTGTTGCGTATAACACTTAGTAATAAAATGAGTATGATTATTTTAAATGTCTATCGCTCCAAAACTACTTCTATACAGAAATTAATTAAACAGTTAGATAGTGTTCTAGAGGAAATTAGTAACAGCAAATACAAAAATGATATGATTCTGATGGTCGGGACTTCAATTCCCACTATCAGCCGTGGTCCATTAGTGACATCCCATCGACTAAGGAAGGTATAGAACTTAATGATTATCTCGCATCAATATCTATGTATCAAGTAGTGCGTGGAATTACTAGAAATGCGTCTAGAACATGTCTAGATTTAGTCATTGCTCAAAATCCTTTATTTATATCTGATATAAAAATAGAACCAACTCTTTATCGAAGTGACCATAATTTTATAGAATTTCGATTAAACGCTTGTCTGGATAGAAAAGACAAAATTTTACGCACTATTTACGACTATAACGTGGTGAACTGGGCGTTAGTAAATGAGCGTTTCAGAGAAATTCCAATTGACCAGCTCTTAAAAAATTACAGAAATGTTACTGAAAGAGCTAAAGCATTTGAAGAGATTTTCCTCGAACATATGCATACTTTTGTGCCCAATAAAACTATAACTATAGAACCGAGGGACAAGGTTTGGTTTAGTGACAAACTACGTGTTTTGTATAAAAATAAATGCAAGTTGTACCGTAATAGTAAAAATTCATTATACCACTTGGAACTCTATAAAAAAGTAGTAAAGGAATTTAAAAAAGAATGTGTTTCCGCAAAAGAAGTCTACTATAAAAGAATAAATGAGAAAATTTCTGCGTCCTCGAAAAACTGGTGGAGCTTAGTTAAAAACACATTAGGTAG